TTAGTGTGTCTGTGTGTCTGTGTGTGTGTTAGTGTGTCTGTGTGTGTTAGTGTGTCTGTGTGTGTGTTAGTGTGTCTGTGGTGTGTGTTAGTGTGTCTGTGTGTCTGTGTGTGTGTTAGTGTGTCTGTGTGTGTTAGTGTTTCTGTGTGTGTGTTAGTGTGTCTGTGTGTGTGTTAGTGTGTCTGTGTGTGTTAGTATGTCTGTGTGTCTGTGTGTGTGTTAGTGTGTCTGTGTGTGTGTTAGTGTGTCTGTGTGTGTGTTAGTGTGTCTGTGTGTGTGTTAGTGTGTCTGTGTGTGTTAGTGTGTGTGTACGTGTGTCTGTGTGTCTGTGTGTGTGTTAGGGTGTCTGTGTGTCTGTGTGTGTTAGTGTATCTGTGTGTCTGTGTGTGTGTTAGTGTGTCTGTGTGTGTTAGTGTGTCTGTGTGTCTGTGTGTGTGTTAGTGTGTCTGTGTGTGTGTTAGTGTGTCTCTGTGTGTGTTAGTGTGTCTGTGTGTGTTAGTGTGTGTGTACCTGTGTCTGTGTGTCTGTGTGTGTGTTAGTGTCCGGCAAAACAACCTCCTACCTCCTCGCGGTGCCGGACGGGCAACACTGTCGTGGGCAGTGCTGTGGGGGGAGGGCCAATGCCCATTGGCCTCTCCCCTCATGGCGTCTGTGACCACCACAGTGGCTAAACGGGGGCTCTGGACGGGTGTGAGGGGCTGGTAACCCCTCCACCTTCAATTCATTACCACTAAACCACGAATTAAACATAAACCTGTAACAAATAAGCTTGTGCCGGAGGCCCCGGGGGGTCAGGCTTTTATGACGTCTCCTGGCCAAACCCCATTTGGCGGAGCCAGGAGATTGAATTTTCACCCTCGGGGCTCCTCCAGAAACAACAAAAAACCATTGCGGATGGCCACGTGGAATGTTCGAACGCTCACTGCGGAGGAGAGGCTGCCACTCCTCTGTCGGGAGCTGGACCGGTACCGCCTGGATCTCTGTGGCATTCAGGAGGTCCGGTGGACCGGTTCTGGCTCCTGCCACCATGAGGGGTGGACAGTCCTCTACTCGGGGCAGGAGACTGCCAAACAACAGGGTGTGGCTCTTCTTCTGAACAAAAGAATGAAGGGGGCGTGGGAGCGTGGCGGTGAGGTGTGGGAAGCTGTAATCCCCAGGATACTTTGGGCTCGCCTTCCCATCAACCAGAGGCGAGGAGTGGTGGTCGTGGTTACTTATGCCCCCACCGAAGACGAACATCCGTGGAGGGATGCAAGCAAAGCCGATGAGTCAGACGCTTTCTATGACCTCCTGTCACAGGTGCTGGCTAAAGTGGCCACTCGGGACAGAGTCATCTTGTTGGGTGACTTCAATGCCCGAGTTGGTCATGATGCTGACACCTGGTCTGGAGTGATTGGAAGGCATGGGCCAGATCAGCTCAATAATAACGGTAGGAGGCTGCTAGATTTTTGTGCAGCCCATGGGCTTGTAATTACCAACACGCTCTTCCGGCATCGGCGCATCCACACAACATCATGGATACATGCCGGGTCCAAGCAAGAACATCTGCTGGACTACATAGTGACGGACCAGCGGATGCGAACCCATGTCCTTGACACCAGGACCTACCGTGGAGCTGATCTGTCCTCTGACCATCGACTAGTCATCTGTAAGATGCGCCTGCCTTTCTTCCACTCTGGTGGTGGGTGTACACCCAGGATCCCATTCCAACCAAAAGTGGCCTGGTCTCAGTTAGCTGATGAAAGTTGCAAGCGAGAATTTCATCATCGCTTGCAGCTGGGGTTGGCATCGTCCCCCACTCCACCTGATGTCGAGGGTAAATGGGCGAGGTTTAGGACTGTGACTCATGCAGCTGCAATGGCTGCTTTGGGTACGCGGTCCAGACCTCCCCAGAAACCCTGGCTGACAGAGGAGGTGTTCAGGTTAATTGAGAAAAAGCGACAGGCCCACTCTCATCGCCTACAGCATCCCACGTCAGAGAATGAGGAGGTTTACCGCAGCCTTCGCTCGGAAGTTCGGAGAGCCGTAAGGCGTTGTAAGGATGGGTGGTGGTCGCGGGTTGCTGAGGAGATGGAGTCTGCCTCAGTGGCCCGTGATCACAAATCACTATTTAACTCCATCAAAAAAGTAACCTGCAGCGCCACACCTATTACCATCATTAGAGGAAAAAACGGTGATCCAATCTCCGACCCCCAGGAACAGGTTTGCAGATTTGCTGAGCATTTCTGTGAGGTCCTGGGGGAGGGAAATTCTCTCAACCAGGAAAACATCATGGCACAAAGTGGGGATAACCCTGCTGAGGCTGCGGTGCCTCAAATATTGGAAGAGGTCACCCCCTGTGAGTGGCTGGCTGAGGTTCCAGCTGTTGAGGAAGTACTGAGGGCGATCCGGAGTCTGAGACCAGGGAAGGCACCGGGCAGAGATGATCTCCCAAGCGAAATGCTGAGGGAGGGTGGCGTTTGTGCACAGACTGCCCTATATGACATCATAACAACAGTCTGGACCACTGGACGGGTTCCGCAGGACTGGAAGGATGCCCTGGTGGTCCCCCTCTTTAAGAAGGGGGACCGCACAGACTGTAACAACTACAGGGGCATCTCACTCCTCAGTGTGCCGGGTAAGGTCCTGGCAAGGATTATTCAACATCGCCTTGCTAGGCACGCTGAGGAGGGGCTTGCGGAGCCCCAATGCGGTTTCAGGAAAGGGCGGTCCTGCACAGATGCCATATTTTCTGTCCGTCTGCTACAGCAGAGGTGTAGGGAATTCCAAAAAGACCTACATCTCTGCTTTATTGACCTGGTCAAGGCCTATGATACCATCAGTAGGACTGGACTCTGGGTTATTCTTCGTGCTTTCGGAGTCCCTGACCCTCTGCTCACGATCATTAAGGACCTTCATGATGGTGAGCGGGCCCGGGTAAAACTACGTGGCCGGGAGTCGGAGCCTTTCCCTGTACACCTTGGGGTGCGACAGGGATGTCCTCTGGCTCCCACATTATTTAACATCTATTTTGACCGCGTAGTTCGTGAAGCCTTCAATAGCTGTACCGGGGGAATTTCCGTTTGGTACAGATATAATGGGAGGCTGATCGACGCCCGGGTGCGATCAAGGGATGGCTCCCTATTGGTCAACCACGTTATGTATGCCGATGATTTGGTAATAGCTGCTCATTCAGAAGAGGAGTTGGAGGCGCTGCTGCTGAGACTGGAGCGTGCCACTAAGAGGTGGGGCCTTACCATCAGCCCCACCAAAACCAAGCACCTGCCTGGGTATTTTGTACCATCGGACACTCCACCCCCACAACTCCCAACTGGTGATGGGGCAGTTGTGGAGAGAGTGGAGAGTTTCCCATACCTGGGCAGTGTGCTTATGACCGGCTCCAGTCTATCAGCAGAGGTCTCACTCCGAATCAGTCGAGCGGCAATATCTTTTCATCGGTTGCGTAACGCTGTGTGGAAGCTACCTGGTCTGTCGCTCCGCACGAAGCTTCAGGTCTTCTCGGCCACGGTCATTCCCTCCCTTCTCTACGCTTGCGAGACGTGGACCCCCCTGGTGGAGCATCTTCGCCGGTTGGAAACATTTAGGCTGGCCTGCCTACGATCCATCCTGGGTTTAACCAGGCTGGATTGTGTGAGGAGCTCACAAATCCTTGAAAGATCTGGGCAAAGTCCCATCAGTGAGCTCCTCCGGCAGGCAAGGCTGCGTTGGCTGGGTCATGTAGCCCGCATGCCCAGCCACCGCATGCCTAAACAGCTTTTGTTCGGCCGGATCGAGGGGGCTAGACGGGCGCGGCACGGGCTGGAGAAGAGATGGAGTGATGTGGTACAGGAGGACGTGGAGCTGAGTGGACTTGCCGATGACTGGTACCAGCGGTGTCAAGATCGGCCTCAGTGGAGGAGGCTCGTGAAGGACGCTACTGGGCAGTTGGAGGCAGTCGCCCTCCAACAACAACGGAGGGCGGAGGAGCGACGCTCACAACAACGAGCGGAGCGCTGGGTGGCTAAAGCACAGCAAGTTGGCACAGTAGGGGGCACAGGTGGTGCATCAGCCAGTCATCTCGGTCATCTCGGTCAGTCGACCAGTGGCACCTGGGTCTGCCCCGTGACCTCCTGCCAGCGGGCTTTCGACACTTCACGTGGCCTCAAGGTGCACTTGGCCTGGCACAAGCATCGTGGTGACGTCACCGCCACTTAGTGGCGAATGGCGGTTGTTGTTGTTGTTGTTGTGTTAGTGTGTCTGTGTGTGTGTACGTGTGTACGTGTGTCTGTGTGTTAGTGTGTCTGTGTGTGTGTTAGTGTGTGTCTGTGTGTGTGTCTGTGTGTGTGTTAGTGTGTGTCTGTGTGTGTGTCTGTGTGTGTGTTAGTGTGGGGAGCGGTAGTGTAGCGGTTAGCGCACTGCGCTACGAACCATGGGACCCGAGTTCCATTTCCGCTCACGACCAACACCAGTGACGATTATCTGAATCGGTCCTGAGCCTCCCCTACGTCGACTCAGCCTCAAATGAGTAGCCGGTGCATTGTGTAAACATCGCCACTAGGGAGATAAAGGCGGTTGAGCGTGGCGCTGGCCACCCACCCCCTCATGTGCCGTGCCGACCTTCATATGTGTCACTCAATAACAGCACTTGCCCCAACAATCTGTCCAGGCGATACGGGGGACCTTTGTCTTTGTTGTTATTCCGCTGGCCCACTCGGCAGCCGAGCCGCGTGCGCCCGGAGAATGCCCCAAGGCTGCCACACGTCGCAGTCCGCATCCACAGGCAGCAGCCTCAGACCACCGGGGCACGAGCCGTCTGAGTTAGAACCTCACTTGACAACACGAGTGCTGTTGTTATGATTACGTTTTTTTGTTTGTAGATCTGTAATTGTGGAATGCTTTGACGTTGTCTGCCGGCCGAGTCGCCCCCTCGAGAAACACGCTCCTGACTCTGAAGGATTATTCACACCACGCTTTTACTCCAGAAGATTCCACATCGTCATTTAAATTGCGTTATAATTATAATAGACACACACACATAGACACACATAGACGTGTTGTATTGATCGTTCGCTTGAGTCCGCTGGCTGTCGCTGGAGTGGCCGTCTGGACAACGGTGCGTTCAGACGCTCGAGGAGGACACCTGGTTGGCAGCCAAACGGCAGCTGAATATGTTCTTGACGGACGAGCGGAATGCAGACGACGCGATGTAGATGATGAGCGGGTCGAAGAGGCTGTTGAGCGAGCAGAGGCAGAGCGTGATGTCTCTGAGAATGGAGATGGCGTGATAGGAGAAGTTGCTCATTTTGCTCGAGGCGAACGCGACGAGGTGCGTGGCGTTGTACGGCGAGAAGCAGAACACGTAGATGAGGATGCTCACGACCGTGATCTTCGTGGCGCGAGACTTCTTCTCCTGGTTCGACTGCTGACTCGTGACTAGAACCCGAATGATATTCCCGTAGCAGAAGAGCGTCACCACCAGCGAGGTGAAGTAGAGAGTGACGAAGAGGAAGAGCCTGAACGGAACGAGGAAGTCGAGGTCCGCCTTGGTGAACGCTTCGTAACATACAATTCTCGGTGGGTCGCTGCTGTTGTTGGTGGCATTCACGACACTTAATATGGTGACGAAGTTCGATGGAACAGAGTGGCTTACCGCCAAACTCCAGATCACCACGCTCACGATCCACGCCGTCCGGGTCTTGCGCCAGCCGGTGACCCAGAGCGGGTGCACGATGGCCAAGTAGCGATCCATGCTGATGGCGGCCACCAGCATGGTGGCGGTGTAGAGGGTGGAGAAGAACGTCATGGTGTAGACGCGGCAAAAGAACCCCGGCAGAGCCCAATGGTTTCCCTTCAAGTGGTAGACGATCTTCATCGGCAGCACCAGTAAGAAGCTCGTGTCTGCTGCGGCGAGGTTGAGCATGTAGACGGACATGGAGTCTTTCTTTTTCGAGACGAGAATGCAGACAGCCAGCAGGTTGAGAGGCAGCCCCAGGATGACCGAGACGCTGTAGAACGTCGGGATGATGACCGAGGGCAGTAACTGGGAGAGATCCATCCTTGAGCAGCAACTGGATCTGCACGCGACAGCCGGGTAACAAACTTGATTTGGAGCTTTCGTGACGGCAGGAATTACTCTTTGGTTCTTTCGGTAAAGTCACGTAGAAAAAAAAATAGCATACGACGTTTCGATTGCAACACAAGCAATCGTCATCAGGTACAAATTAAAGAGAAAACAAACCTAGTAAACTTAGAAATATGATGCAAATATAATGCAACCAAGTAGGGTGTTGACTGTTATGTTAGCCGACTCTCCGTGTTGTATTGCATTGTATTTCTAAGTTTACTAGGTTTACTAGGTTTGTTTTCTCTTTCATTTGTGCCTGATGATGATTGCTTGTGTTGCAATCGAAACGTCGAATGCTATTATGTAATTAATTTCTTTATTTCTACGTGACTTTACCGAAAGAACCAAAGAGCCGGGTAACAAGCTTGTGCGCGCGTGGATCAAACAGTTGGGATGTGTGTTGCATTACACATTGCTGTGAATTGTCACTATGTTGTCTTGAATAAGACGCGTATTGTACCTACCCCTAGAGCGTGCGGTAACTTAAACTCGGGAATGGTTACAATAATATGTCTCGTATTGGTAACTGGGGGGGGGGGGGGGGCACATCGATACAGAGGTCCTCAACACAGAGCCGAGCAGCAGCAGCGGCCCTGCCCCCGCTGAGCGTGCGAGGGACGCTCGCCCGCTCAGCTCATGCGAGAGTCGCGCCACCGTCACGCGACGTCACAAAGGCGCACGTCAGGTGACTTCCTGCTCAATCGAGCACGCGGCCCGGTTCGAAGCTAAACATGCATAACACGCGGCACGCGTGTTCAATAAGGGAAGGGGGGGATGTTTGCGAATGACCGCGTGGCTCTGTGGCCACGAGCACGATCCACGCGGTGCGGGAGTAACTTGGTGGTGGTGGTGGTGGCAGGCGTCTGCTGCTGCAGCCCCATCTCCACGGAAGTTCAACTCGGCACAGAGAGCCGCCCTGTGACGCTCGCAACCCACCGGGAGGAATCAGCCGCGTGGGCCGACAGAGGGGCGCGCGAGCGGCGCCTGGCGAGGGTGGCGCGCGGAAGGAGAGACCGCGACTCCGGGGGGGGGGGCGAGGCGCGCCGAGGCGACTGGAGCCGTCGCGGTCTCTGCACTCTCGGATCTGCAGCTCCACCGCGCGTTGGCTCCACGCAGCCGCCATCACCAGCGCATGGCGGCCCCACGGAGCGGCGTCTGCACAGAGCGGCAGACTGTGACGCCCTCACTCCTCGTTCCTGTGACGCGCACACCGCAGACGGAGCGATGGAGCGAGACACGCGCCACCACGCGCGTAGCTCGCGGATCGAGGTGCCAAGAGGCATTCGTTGCATGCATTCATGCTGAACTTATTTCGCACCGTACGTGGCCAACAGTGGTCGTCGGAGGTGGTTGAGGCGATCGAAGGACGCTGGGCGCGTTCTCTGCAATGTCGATGTTGTTGTCTTGGTGTTGTTGCCGCTTCAGCTGAGCTCACGCACCACGGGTCTCAAGTGGGAAGTAGCCCGGCTATGGGCCAAGTGGGAACATCCGTGTACCAAATCAACTTTGACTCGCCAAAAATAGCTGTGTGTGATGAGGGCTACACAATGCTAGCTGTGTGTGATGAGGGCTACACAATGCTAGCTGTGTGTGATGAGGGCTACACAATGCTAGCTGTGTGTGATGAGGGCTACACAATGCAAGCTGTGTGTGATGAGGGCTACACAATGCTAGCTGTGTGTGATGAGGGTTACACAATGCTAGCTGTGTGTGATGAGGGCTACACAATGCTAGCTGTGTGTGATGAGGGCTACACAATGCTAGCTGTGTGTGATGAGGGCTACACAATGCTAGCTGTGTGTGATGAGTGCTACACAATGCAAGCTGTGTGTGATGAGGGTTACACAATGCTAGCTGTGTGTGATGAGGGTTACACAATGCTAGCTGTGTGTGATGAGGGCTACACAATGCTAGCTGTGTGTGATGAGGGCTACACAATGCTAGCTGTGTGTGATGAGGGCTACACAATGCAAGCTGTGTGTGATGAGGGTTACACAATGCTAGCTGTGTGTGATGAGGGTTACACAATGCAAGCTGTGTGTGATGAGGGCTACACAATGCTAGCTGTGTGTGATGAGGGTTACACAATGCTAGCTGTGTGTGATGAGGGTTACACAATGCTAGCTGTGTGTGATGAGGGCTACACAATGCTAGCTGTGTGTGATGAGGGCTACACAATGCTAGCTGTGTGTGATGAGGGCTACACAATGCTAGCTGTGTGTGATGAGGGTTATACAATGCTAGCTGTGTGTGATGAGGGCTACACAATGCTAGCTGTGTGTTATGAGGGCTACACAATGCTAGCTGTGTGTGATGAGGGCTACACAATGCTAGCTGTTTGTGATGAGGGCTACACAATGCTAGCTGTGTGTGATGAGTGCTACACAATGCTAGCTGTGTGTGATGAGGGCTACACAATGTTAGCTGTGTCTGATGAGGGCTACACAATGTTAGCTGTGTGTGATGAGGGCTACACAATGCTAGCTGTGTGTGATGAGGGTTACACAATGCTAGCTGTGTGTGATGAGGGCTACACAATGCTAGCTGTGTGTGATGAGAGCTACACAATGCTAGCTGTGTGTGATGAGGGTTACACAATGCTAGCTGTGTGTGATGAGGGTTACACAATGCTAGCTGTGTGTGATGAGGGTTACACAATGCTAGCTGTGTGTGATGAGGGCTACACAATGCTAGCTGTGTGTGATGAGGGCTACACAATGCTAGCTGTGTGTGATGAGGGTTACACAATGCTAGCTGTGTGTGATGAGGGTTACACAATGCTAGCTGTGTGTGATGAGGGCTACACAATGCTAGCTGTGTGTGATGAGGGCTACACAATGCTAGCTGTGTGTGATGAGGGCTACACAATGCTAGCTGTGTGTGATGAGGGCTACACAATGCTAGCTGTGTGTGATGAGGGCTACACAATGCTAGCTGTGTGTGATGAGGGCTACACAATGCTAGCTGTGTGTGATGAGGGCTACACAATGCTAGCTGTGTGTGATGAGGGCTACACAATGCTAGCTGTGTGTGATGAGGGTTACACAATGCTAGCTGTGTGTGATGAGGGCTACACAATGCTAGCTGTGTGTGATGAGGGCTACACAATGCTAGCTGTGTGTGATGAGGGCTACACAATGCTAGCTGTGTGTGATGAGGGCTACACAATGCTAGCTGTGTGTGATGAGGGCTACAGGCTGATAATTTGTGTAATTGCTCTTATAGCATATTGTATAATAATAATAAATAGCATTAAAGTGTAATGTTTAATACAATGTATAAGGTAATATATAGTATCGTAATTTTATAGTGAATATATAGCAGTGTGGTATACAGTTGGTTGGGTAGAATAATACATAGTGTAATATTACAATGTATAGTCTATAAGCATATTAGTTGCTGTGGCGCCATATTATTAACATTCCTTCCCTTAATTAATTCTAACCTTACTCCCTCCCTTTGATACTGCTAATTCTGCATAATGCATAAACCCCTCGCCAAACCTCCTACGCATTTCACAAGTAGTACTAATCGCATATCTGCATTTCCCATAAATATGCTAAATTCCTCTTGATATGCAAATTATTTTGTCAAGACGCTCTTCGCCCCTCCATCCCAGCATAAATAGTCGCTCCAAGCCTGGGGCTTGTCATTCAGACTCTGCCTTCTCGACAGACCTGTTCTCCACCTGAAGACGGCTGCTTGCGTTGTGGTCGAAACGTCGTGAGAATTATTTTATTCTGTTTTATTTTTATTATTTTATTATTTTCCTTCTACGTGACTTTACCGAAAGAACCAAGAAGATGAATCCCTTCAGTCACGAAAGCTTTAAATCGAAAAATGTATATTATGTTCTCATGAAGGAACGCAAATCATCTCTCCATTTTCATGACGTCAAAGTCTGATCCGCCTCCCTCCACCCACCGCCCTGGTCTGAGACGCGCGATCCGCAGCGAGGCGATGAGCGACGCAGCATCGCTCATCGCCAGCCCCGACCCGGGGTCGTCTCGGAGCCGCCTCGCACCGGCACCTGGGGATGTCGAATAACGCGACGGGAACACTGACCCCGACACCAATCCCCTGGCTCCCGTGTGCTGGCGAACATTCTGCCACCAAATATGCACAGAGACGTCGCGCGAGCTGCAAGGGGGTCGACGAAACGTTTTCTTGCCAACGACAAGCACCTGCCTACCCTTCAGCCGACACCTCAACCCTGCCCCTCGCCGCCGACTCGAGCCCCGATCTCCCTTCTGGGATGGCGCTGCTGCTGTCATCATCCTAGAACCTGACCCAGATGCAGAAGAATGTTGGTGAGTGGAAGAACACGGACGTTCATAATGAACTCCTCGTTCGAGACCCAAACATCGCACCTCCTGCCGTTTACTTTCTTGTTCTAGAAAACACTGGTGATGTAACCATCAACTCACTCACTCAGCTACTCACTCACTCAGCTACTCACTCAGCTACTCACTCACTCAGTCAGCTACTCACTCACTCAGCTACTCACTCACTCAGTCAGCTACTCACTCACTCAGCTACTAACTCAGCTACTCACTCAGCTACTCACTCACTCAGCTACTCACCCACTCAGCTACTCACTCACTCAGTCAGCTACTCACTCACTCAGTCAGCTACTCACTCACTCAGCTACTCACTCACTCAGTCAGCTACTCACTCACTCAGCTACTCACTCAGCTACTCACTCACTCAGCTACTCACCCACTCAGCTACTCACTCACTCAGCTACTCACTCACTCAGCTACTCACTCACTCAGCTACTCACTCACTCAGTCAGCTACTCACTCACTCAGCTACTCACTCAGCTACTCACTCACTCAGCTACTCACTCACTCAGTCAGCTACTCACTCACTCAGCTACTCACTCAGTTACTCACTCACTCAGCTACTCACCCACTCAGCTACTCACTCAGCTACTCACTCACTCAGCTATTCACCCACTCAGTCAGCTACTCACTCAGCTACTCACTCACTCAGCTACTCACCCACTCAGCTACTCACTCACTCAGCTACTCACTCACTCAGCTACTCACTCACTCAGTCAGCTACTCACTCAGCTACTCACTCAGCTACTCACTCACTCAGCTACTCACTCACTCAGCTACTCACTCAGCTACTCACTCACTCAGTCAGCTACTCACTCACTCAGCTACTCACTCACTCAGTCAGCTACTCACTCACTCAGCTACTCACTCAGCTACTCACTCACTCAGCTACTCACTCACTCAGTCAGCTACTCACTCACTCAGCTACTCACTCAGCTACTCACTCACTCAGCTACTCACCCACTCAGCTACTCACTCACTCAGCTACTCACCCACTCAGCTACTCACTCACTCAGTCAGCTACTCACTCACTCAGCTACTCACTCACTCAGTCAGCTACTCACTCTGCTACTCACTCAGTCAGCTACTCACTCACTCAGCTACTCACTCAGCTACGCACTCACTCAGCTACTCACTGACTCACTCAGCTACTCACTCACTCAGTCAGCTACTCACTCACTCAGCTACTCACTCACTCAGTCAGCTACTCACCCACTCAGCTACTCACTCACTCAGCTACTCACTCACTCAGCTACTCACTCACTCAGTCAGCTACTCACTCACTCAGCTACTCACTCAGCTACTCACTCAGCTACTCACTCACTCAGCTACTCACCCACTCAGCTACTCACTCACTCACTCAGCTACCCACCCACTCAGCTACTCACTCACTCAGCTGCTCACTCACTCACTCAGCTACTCACCCACCCGCTCACCACTGGTGGAAAACCATCAACCGCATCAGAACATCAACAGGCCGATGTGCACATCTCCTTCATGAATGGAAAATTAAAGACACAAGCCACAATCCAAACTATGGACCACATAATAAGCGTAATAATAATCTCATACAGATAGACATAGACTCAAAGAAATACATAGAGACACATAGAGACTAATTTAAAGACAAACCTCAGTCGTGCTGTGGTTGAACTATCGCACCGTACATAGCCAACCGTGTGGCCCTGCAACCAAAACTCTGGACCAGATCGTCAACCACTGTCGCCTGCGCTCCTCCAACGGAGGAGGAACAGCAAAACGACACAAACTCACTCCAGAAGCCCTCTCGTCATGGCCAGCAGCAGCTCCTGAACGTATTGCTTCTGCCTCATGGGCAAGAATAGCCTAGCAAGGGATAACGCGATAGACCAACTGTGCAATACGAATGATCTTGCTCATCTCGTCATGGAGCATGAGCCATCACGCAAACTCCGGTCATCCTCGCCGCGGCTTCTGGCTAACCATCGAACAAAGACGGTCGCTGCATCGCGTGGCGCTTTCAGATGCGCTTCTGCGGCCGTCTGGAACGTTTTTCCGAAATTAGGAAGCCACGAGTTTAATCATCTAGTTTGAAAATTCATTTTTTTAGAACTGCTGTTTGTGTTTAGTGTGCTGTCCTTCCCCCGCACATCCGATTATCACGGTTGGCTACGTACGGTGCGAAAGAAGTTCAACATACATCTGTAATTGTCCATGAGCCTAGAGCAGATATCTCACTTGTGGGTACCACCTCCGCTGGCATAGCTTTAGCCAACACCAGTGGATCGCGTGATAACCGTTGTAAACGAGCGGTTTTATCAAGTAATGAACTCGTTACGACAAGCGTCGCGATACATGAGCTGGTCCCGATGTCAGCTGTGGCCCGTGGGCTCTCATTGGGCTTCTCCCGCTGCTGTGCCACCCCCTCCCCTGGGAGCCAGAGGCGCGATCTGCTCCGAGGGGCTCGACTCACAGACGGCGCCGCAGCAAGTCTCCCACGCGTCCCAACGTCTCGCACCGTCGCTGCTGGGACTCACCGCGAAACCGCGCGATCGACGATTCGCCTCTTCGGACGCCGTCTGCTCACGACTCGCACGCCCACGCGCGCACTTGTGGCTCTCTGTCTACGGCTGCCACGTCGCTTATATCCCAAATTAGAAGTCAGCAGCCTTGCGCGTGTGTGCTTAACCGTTGTTTCAACGCCAAGTGCCGGAGCGCTCGGCTAAGCAAATATTGACACTCGTGGGAGAATCACGGCGGTTGCTCAGAACTTGAGGCCGAAGGGAAATTTCGCGTGGTATCTGCAGCGATCAGCAGATGCGCCACGAGGCGTTGACAACTCGAGTGTCATCTACGGGACGCGTTCTTCAGTGGCGAAAGCAGCTTTCATCGCAATGCAGCTTATTGTCGAGTCCCGTGCGAGTAATGAGCTATTGTCCCGTGAGTGTCCATTTAATTAACATGTCAGAGCGCCAGAGTGCTAAGGAAGAGGCCATTGTCTAGCACGGCTTATTGGGTCCTGCGTGCCGCGTCAGGGCCGGCTGTTGTTTTTTCTGAACCCAGATGTGGATGGCTCCTTTGTGTGGAGGGAGCGTTCGGACAGCTGCTGAGGTTTCTAATTTATTGTCGATTCATACAATTTGGTTATTTCGGTAAAGTCACGTAGGTAGAAAAAATAATACATCACGACGTTTCGATCGCAACAACAAGCGACCGTTTGCAGGTGTCCTGAAGTTGTTGTTGCGATCGAAACGTCGTGATCTATTATTTTTGTATACCTACGTGACTTTACCGAAAGAACCAAAGAGTGTGGATTCCTGCAGTCACGAAAGCTTCCAATCAAGATGTAGTCGATTCCTCTGCAAATGAACACGCACTGGAGCCCTTTGCTGCGACCCAGGCGAATGTTGTGTGACCCCTGCGTGGTCGCACGTCGAGACGTCCACCCAAAGTAGCTAATGCTGCCTCGATGCGAATGGTGAAACGGGAGCTGCCTGCAGGTGGCCCACGGTGGGGGGGGGGATGTTGTTTCCGCAACCTCACTGAGTCTCAGTGCGCGTTTTAAGGAGGCTCCTGCCAAGGCTACCCCCTCCGTGAGCCGGCACGCGGAGATGCTGGGTCCACGCCATCATCGTTAACCGTGATCAATCCACTTTTCGATGAATGCCTTCGCCTTTCCAGCTGATCGCACGGCTCCATTCGTGGTCTCAGGCGGGATGTTTCCTTTGGTTGCCATTCCATGGCCAGTCTCGACGATTGTCCATCACCCGCGCTCTCGTGATGTCCCCAACCCCACGTGCTTCCCTTCACAGTCGAGACGATGATGACGATGGCTCCACGTTTGCTCCCAGATCCGCGTTTCCCTCTCTCTCTCTCAAGTTGGGTGTCATTCCAGGAGCCTCTCTTTTCGTGCTCCTCATTGTCCGTCCCTCTGATTGATTGCCATGCTTCCTCGTGCAACTTTCAGCCTTGGTTCCATTTCGTTTGCTATTGTCCGTGGTTCGTATCCTTGGGCCCATGTTGGGGAATGTGCACTGATTGTAAACGTTCTTCTTCAGGCACGTTCGTTGTGTTGCTTCTTTATTATCTAATTTAGTTTCCCAAAGCCACTGCCCCACGCTCTCATTAAACGTGTGTTAAAGAGGAGCGAGAGGTCAGAGTGAGGATTGCATTTGAAAGGTGACCGATAGCCCCTCGTGTCCCGACCGCTTCATTGTCCCGCGTGTCTGCGCCCATGCCCGTTGATGACGAGGCTCTGTGCAGTCGAAGCTGCTGCCACTCAAATACTCTCCAAGTCGACTGAGAAAGACGAATCTTCGAGGGGCCATGGGCCAGTGGTATCATGATCCACTTACTCTCTCTGAAACGAAGTCAGCCTTTGGTGTAAACACGCCTTGTACTTCTCAGAGCGCACAGGCAGAGCGCACGCATTGCACACACACGCGGCAGGAGTCTTTATGATTACACGAACACCACCCCGCGGTGATCAGAACAAACAGTAACGCGGGCTTGCTAATGACACACGGGGCGAATGAACCTTTAGACCGTCACTCTAAATGTAATGTACTCCCCGGATCGTTTAACCTGAGTCACCACATAGCGGCGTAGCTCAGTGCTGAATTGCCCGGTGCTACTTTCTGCCTTGCTCCTACAATAAACATGCAAAGTATGAACTCTGATCTCACGATTCACGCGTTCACGATGAGTGTTTGCGTGCGCATTCCGAATGCACTCACACTGCACCTGTAGCACTGCACGTAATCTCCCGCGTGGTCCGTGTGGTCTCACGTGGGCCCGTGTGGCCTGTGTGGTCTCACGTGGCCCCGTGTGTCCCCATATGGGCCGTGTTGTCCCGTGTGGTTCTTGTGGGCTGTGTGGTCCCGTGTGATCTCGTGTAGTCTCGTGTGGTCTCGTGTAGTCTCGTGTGGTCTCGAGTGGCCCGTATGGTCCATGTGGTCCCGGGCACGGTAACAACATTATCCAGCGTGGGACACAGACCCTGATGTTCACAAAATGTAACGCAGGGTGGCGCAGTGGCAACACTGGCCCCTCACGGCAAGAAGCGTATCTGTTGCATTCTTGATTCGGGAGGTCGCGTTCTCTCCACCTGTTCTGCGTGGGTTCCTCCGGGGTCTCCGGTTTCTCGTCCCATAGCGAAACACAACCACACAGTGTCACTGGTGTTGGCCAAAACATCCCAATTTGTTGTAAAATAACCTGCAAATCACTCAGCAACATCGCCTGCTACTGCGAAACACTTGGCAGCATCCTCCTCAAAGAGGGCCTTGAGACTTGGGCAGTCCCTGGTGACCAGCTGGTGTCTCATTCTACTCAGTTGGTGTCTCGTTCTGCTCTGCTTTGTCGGCTCCGGGCGTAGAATTCCACTCCGTCGAGCAGTGGTTCTTAACACGAGGTGCACACTGCACCCCCCTGGGGTGCGAGATGCTCTTTCTGGGGGTGCGAGACGTGGCCAGGTTTTTTTAGAAGGTAAATCATCGAAACGCAAATTAAGCACGGGCACGTAAAGTACAACTACTTAGTTTCATCAAACATATGTTTTATTAACATTACACATGTTTTGCCGATTGAGAACGGGGTACAAGGCTGCAGTACAAGAACCGCTGCCGTCGAGTGACCGTGAATGAAGTATGCCCTCTCACGTCGAGCGCGTCACATTTCACGTGCACAGAGGCTCTGAGCAGGAGGGGAACTTCTCAAATGTATGTAGCGAATGTTGAACTGATCTCGCACCGTACGTGGCCAACCGTGCTAATCTGAGGTGCGGGGGAAGGGACATAAAGCGGAGGAATTGCATCGCTCTGTAGGCATTGTGGTGCCATGGGACTTGGCGTGCGGGAGAAGAGCACTCCCCACGTCACACACGCCGACAGACTCTGCTCTTCTTTATCGTGCTCGCTCTCCCTCTCTCAGCATTCTCACAGAAGTGGTGTCGGGGCTCCCGCCAGTGGTGTGCAGCTCGGGTTCTGGACCCGCCTGCACACTGACCCGAGCGTGACGCAGCGCGGCCCTCGCAAGGACCTTCAATTCATCGAGTCGGTGTCCACGCGCACGGCAGTCACAGACTCATCGGAGCACACGAAGCCCAATTTGAACTCGAGGGTGGTGGTGTTGCTGTGATCGTAATTGTCTATGTGTGTGGATACCCACTCACGGGCAACACCGGTGACGAATATCCTAACCGGTCCTGTGACTCCCCTAGGTCGACTCAGCCTTATGGCTCACGCACAGATCATGTATTATACTGCATGCATAGGCAGTACAACAAGTAGGTCACGGCAGTATTCTGAGTGCGCCTTCCACAGCGCGTTATTTTCCACCCACATAACCGTTGGATAAACATCCCACATTCAGGGAGAAAAGTATTTATAACGACTTGTATTGTTGTTAGTTAAATGTTGATGCTGTTTTTCTCAATGTTGTTGTGGCAGCTGATATTCTAAGAGATATCTGTCATTGCTTTTGGTTACAGTACGTTGTACAATATTAATGGCAATATTCGGAATATTGGTACCAGTAATGTTACTCATAGCAACGTTATCAATAAACCAGGATTTTATTTCAGCCAGGTCTGTCCCTGTTGGTAACCCGGAAAACTCTTCCACACCCGGCATACCACATCCACCAGGCCTCTCGCTCTGCTGTGGCTTGATAGCCACGTGCCACCTTCTGGAATATTGCCACGTGGACAAGTATTCAATAAGAAATGAATGGGATCTTTTTGCTATCAAATTATGAAAAAATAAGAATAGGGGTTACCCTTTAAGGCAATAAAACAGGTGTTAAGATGTTCAAACACCAAATATAACCCTTTTGCAAGGAATAGTGGCATAAATACTGGCATATACAAGTCGCTATAAATACAGTTGCACGACGATTGCTGGGCATGAAACTAGGGGGCCTATGTGGGCGATCACCTCTCCATCCATTATTAATCCTGGGGAAATATGCAACAAAACAAACGCCAAAAAATCCATCACAGCTGGTCACGTGGTCGCTCTGGGCTGCCCGGGGCAATCGTTGGAGGCGTGCAGGCGGTGCCAGGCGCCGCGGGCAGCAGTAGCAGCCTCAGGCCGTGAGCGCCTTCTATACCGCGTGGCTGCCGCTGTTTGCGCAGCAGCTGCGACCTCGTTGATGGGGCTTGATGAGCCGTAAGGCTGCGTCGCGAGTGGCGGGGAGTGGTGCTTCTATGGCTGGGCGACCGAGCTTCAGCCAGGGACTTTTATTTACAGCGAGCGACTCGTGATGAATTGAACAAAATATAGAAATAAACAAAATATACAGGAGTATTTAACGAAAAAGTGATAAATTCACCGCACGTCGGACGTGACATCAGTGCCGTACATCAGACCTCAACACAATGTAAAGGGCACCCCCAGTGGCAGCTGTCCCTGTGGGCTCAAGGTTACGGAGTAAAGGGGCATTCGTCTGCCGGTAGGGGGAGGTTAATGGCGCTGGATGTAAAATCCTAAATGCAACAAAATGGCCTACCCTTGCGAATGGCATCACTGGATCTTTAACCACCAAAGTGACCTTTGGTCGTGAATGGGTCCGCCCCGGTGCCACGTGGTTTCTGCACCGCAGTGGACAGCGATGCACCTCCCATGCAGGTCGCTCTCGCGAA